TTCTGTTTCTGCATTGCTTTGATTTGGCGCCCTAACTTTGAGTGACAGGTTTATAACTTGAGGCAACATATTAATTTGTTATTCTGTAATTGCACCTGTTATCTGGCAAATCTGATTATTGCAAACTCCTGGTTAAAAGGAAACATTATCTAGAGAAGAGCCTGGAATAGTGGTTCTCAACCTGGTTCAGTGGAGAGAGCCTGGAATTTATGGTTCACTTTGAATACTATAAAATAATGAAAATACTAATGTCTATCGCTAATATAAAACATGACTCTGTGATCTATAAGCAATATGAAACCACACTCAAGGGTGCACGTTCACAAAAACCATCTGTTGAGGCCATCCTCTAGTCACCAGACATGGGTTTTCCAGTGTCCCCCTTTGGTGGCTCTGCACATTCTTCTATCACAGCACATATCAGCTGGGTCACTTGACCACGCCCCTCTGTGAGCTTCTTGAGCATAACTGCCATGTTCTCTCTTTTGGCAGATATATAAGCATACAATAAATGTTTATGAATGGATACAATACTGTTGACAGCTTTTTAAAATTATTCACTCAGTATTCTTTTGACTCTAGTTCATCTGTTTAGACATCTACCAAGACTGACTTGGGGAGAAACCGAAGTTAAAAAAAATAAATGGAGACTTTCGGCCAAGATGGAGGTGTAGGTAGAAACACTGTACCTCCTCGCACAACCAAAAGGACAATAAAAACTTAGAAACAAAAACCAACCATAACTGACAGAAAAATTGAACTGTATGGAAGTCCAATAACCAAGGAGTTAAAGAAGACACATTCATCCAGACTGGTAGGAGGGGTGGAGACAGGCAGCTGGGCAGAGAGGACTTGTGGCAAGGTGGTGGCTGGCGGACCTAGTGAGGCGTCAGATAGTGGAGTGGGTCATGCAAGGCTGCAGCTGGCCAGCAAGGCAGCAGCTGGAGGCCAGCGAGGCACTGGATTGAGGACTGAGGGTCCCACATTGGCATGCAGATAAACAGGAGGAACAATGGGGAGCAGGATGGACTGTACAGCCCAGGGCCCCAGCACAGGGGAATAAAGCGTCAAAGCTGAAAACACCTGTGGGGATTGAGGTGCTGGGAGAGACTCCCAGCCTCACAGGAGAGTTCAATGAAGAGACACAGAACTGTAGGGTCCTAGAACATACACAGACTCACCCACACGGGAATCAGCACCAGAAGGGCCCAATTTGCTTGTGGAAAGTGGGGGAAGTAACTAAATCTGGCAGAGAGTGGAGCAAGTGCCATTGTTCCCTCTTGGACCCACATACAGCGTCACAACCCAGTGACATGGGTTGCCCCATCCCAGTGAACACCTAAGGCTTCACCCTTCACTACGTAACAGGTGCATCAAGACAAAAAAATGGCCCAAATGAAAGAACAAGAATGGCCCAAACCAAAGCTCCAGAACAAATACAACTAAGCAATGAAGAGATAGCCAACCTGTCAGATGCACAGTTCAAAGCACTGGTGATCAGGATGCTCACAGAATTGGTTGAATATGGTTGCAAATTAGATGAAAAAAATGAAGGCCATGCTAAATGAAATAAAACAGTGTAGAACAGAAGGAAGAAGGAAACATCCAACCAGAAAAGAATGAAGAAACAAGAATTCAAAAAAATGAGGAGAGGTTTAGGAACCTCCAGGACATCTTTAAACATTCCAACATCGGAATTATAGGGGTGCCAGAAGGAGAAGAGGAAGAGCAAGAAGTTGAAAATTTATTTGAACAAATAATAAAGGAGAACTTCCCCAATCTGGTAAAGGCAATAGACTTCCAGGAAATCCAGGAAGCACAGAGAGTCCCAAAGAAGTTGGACCCAAGGAGAAATACACCAAGGCACATCATAATTACACTACCCAAGATTAAAATTAAGGAAAGGATTCTAGAAGCAGCAAGAGATAAGGAGACAGTTACCTACAAAGGAGTGCCCATCAGACTGTCAGCTGATTTCTCAAAAGAGACCTTCCAGGCAAGAAGGGGCTGGAAAGAAGTATTCCAAGTCAAGAAAGGCAAGGACCTACATTCAAGATTACTCTATGCAGCAAAGCTTTCATTTAGAATGGAAGGGCAGATAAAGTGCTTCTCAATAAGGTCGAGTTAAAGGAGTTCATCATCACCAAGCTCTTATTATATGAAATGTTAAAGGGATTTATCTAAGAAAAAGAAGATAAAAATATGAACAGTAAAATGACAGCAAACTCACAATCATTAACAACCATATCTAAAACAAAAAAGAAAAACTAAGCAACAACTAGAACAGGAACAGAAACAAAGAAATGGAGATCACATGGAGGGTTAGCAACAGGGGAGTAGGAGGGGGAGGGATGGGGGGAAGGTAGAGAATAAGTAGCATAGATGGTAGGTAGAAAGGGGAGAGTAAGAATAGTATAGGAAATGTAGATGCCAAAGAACTTATATGTATGATCCATGTACATGAAATAAAGGGGGGAATGTGGGTGGGAGGGGTGTGCAGGGCAGAGGGGAGTGAAGGGGGGAGAAAATGGGACAACTGTAACAGCACAATCAGTAAAATATGTTTAAAAAAATAAATGGAAGAAAAAATATAAAATTGTAAAAATTTATCAGTCAATTAATGCTTATGTAAATTGAGAGGTATTCCTTATTTGATATCAGCAAAATACTTCCCCCTAGATCATGGAGTAGTATTTCATAGGACCATTTCAAACATTACATAATTTGCAAACCACTGGCATAGAATTCAGCAAAGACAAATCTCTGGTCAAGGTTTCTCAGAGAACTAGCAGCTGTCATACTATTGTGCCACCTATAATTTAGTCCTTTCTAGCAAAATAATAAATAGTGTGCTTTCAAAAGACATTCGAAAGATTTAAAAAATAAAGAACTATTTTGAAACATAAGAATATCAAGGATTCCAAAAATGCCACATTCTCGAGTCTGGTGGGTGGTAACATTCACTAGATCATTTCTTTTTCTGACAGATGAATTGTTGTGGTTCAAATATTCTTTAAATATATAAAATCACATCATGGACAATTGGCAAAAACCAACCAACCAACCTCCTCCCCCGACCCCTCAAAAAAAGTCCATGAAAATTTAAGTCATATCCATTCCTAAGTCTGAAAGGGCAAGCAGATGGCTAGTTCACAAGTCCTGTAGTGAAAGCCCCTCCAAAAGCTGCTCTCCATGAAATTTTGTATCACCCCCTTTACTTACAAAAAGATATTTACAATTGAAATCATCAATTATTTTCATGGTGAAGTAAGTGATTTAAAAAATCCGTGATAAAAACCAAGTACTAAAAACTAGGTCCCTGAGGATACACTTTTATTACTCATTGCTTACTTAAACTCTAGATCCCTAAACTGTTCTGCAAGACAAGAAATTGACGGCAGTTATAACAGATACATGGTAAAACAAGTCCAACTAGTCAGAGTCACTTACAGAGCCTGGAATGCCTGTTCTGGGCCCAAATACCTTAATCAGAAGACAATTTTTATAGAAAGAAAAACTAAAAGGATGGACAGTACTTGGAGATTAAGAATACAGAATTCTGGCAGCACCAGTGTGTTTTACTAAATACATTACATATTTGGAGAAATACATTAACTAAACTTGTAAGAACCCTCTCTGGATCTCCCCTGCCTTTTGGGGAAGAGAAGGGTAAGGTACCTGTGTTAGGTGTTTAGATGTGAACTAAGAAGTTGCAGGCTATACACATCAAATACACAGTTCACTCACACGAAATGACAAAGTACATATTTCAGAAATCTACAATCATATTCTAGAGGAAATCACTTAGAAATGGCAGCCAGGTGGCATTAAAAGAAAGGAGAAAATCCACACTATTTTTGAGTTATGAATTCAGAAAGCATCACTTGTAGGAGAGGTGACTTCAATATAGCAGTGAATAATCCACTATCCTTGGTCCCAGATGAAATTTTGAATGGATGGAGCTCAATTTACAGCAAGAATAATGGGTGCGGGAGTGGAAAAGAGAAACTTTACGCAGAAAGTCTCAGAATTAATAACCACAGGCAACTTTATAAATATGCCAGAGGAAAAGAACTGACTCACTTGGCACTAAGAAGCTGGATAGGGTCAGAATATGGCCGTGCACTGCGACTAAAATGAAACATCTGGGGAGGAATTTGAGTAATAGTAAGTCCGCATTTTCTAACTCGATACAAGTTAACACAAGAAATCACCCAAAGCTAACACAGAAGACTTCCATTCCAGGAATCATTACAATGATTAGAAAGGAAACGTATCGTCTCAGCCGGGTCTCAAGACAGTCGAGTCGGTTCAACAAGGCAAGCCCTTTGAGAAGGGCACCCTGAACTAATTTAGAAATGGAGAGCCAGCTAAGCTCAATAGATCGACTTGACCTTTTCTGAGTTACCATCACAAGGCAGAGGGTTTCTGATCTGGGTGTGGCGGGTGAGGCGGGTGCGCCTAGGGTTTTTAACAGCACTCGTGTGTTTACTAAACACACCAGCCACCCTCGCCGCCCCAGCCCCTCCTGAGCGCACTTGAACTTGGAGTTCTAACCAACAGCTAGCCGACAGACTGCGCAGGCGGCAATATTCAAAAGCGGTTCCGGACTCGAGGAGGAAAAACTCTGTCCAGCTCCCCCAGCTCCGTCCCCGCCCCCCAAGCAGGACAGGCCACCTCCCCACCCTGGGCCACTGGAAACCGCCAGGTTGGGGACGACGCGTCCACCGCAGGGCCTTCCAAGCCAGCTCCGCACCCTAAGCCGGGGCCTAGAAAGGGAGGCTGGGCGGGGCCTGTCTCCTCACTGAACCCCGGCTCGGCAGCCGAGACCCGGCCGGTTCCTACTCCCAGCCCGAGGGTCGTGGAGCAGGTAGAAAGGGAAACGACGAAAGGACTGCGCTGCAGACCTCACCCCAGGTTCAGGGCATCGCGCTTCCGGCGGTACAGGTGCCGCCCAAGCCCGCCACTCCAGTGCACTTTGGCCGTAGCTCCGCGGGAGACCCGGTCGCACCACAGTGACGCAAAAGCCCAGCCTCCCAACCCCGCCTCCGCCCTCCCGCCAGCGTGTTGCCCGGAGACTGAGTTCGAAGTAGGTTCCTCAGAGCTGTGCTCTGGCTCAGCGGTTACTCTTCTCCGGGGGAGCTGGGAGAGAAAGTGGCGGCGAAGTTGGCCTTCGCTCTCCAGGGGAGGGGGGGTCATGGCCAAGGGGGGTGGGGGAAGGCTTCACCTAGGAGGCTTTTGGAGGTAGGGGCTTCCGTGGTGTGGCTGTGGGTTTGGCCTGAGGGACTGTTGTCTTTGCAGGTGACATCTCCCAGGGAATGTTGAGGCCTGGCCCCAGTGACAAAGGCCACTCTTGGAGCCCTAGTTTGGTCAAGGGTTGGATTCCAAGTCGCTACTTATTGGCCCTCCAGCCTCCCACTGGTCATAGTTACACAAAGATGATCTCCTTATTGTGAAATGAAGTTGATTATGCTTGCCTAGCTATTGGGTTGGCCAAAAAGTCCGTTTAGTTTTTTCTGTAAGATAAAAAAGACATTTTTCATTTTCACCAATAACTTTATTGATTTGGACATTTTGGGTATGTTGGCTGTCTCCTGCTATTTGCTTTTAAGTGGATAGAGGCCAAGGGTGCAGCTAAACATTTTCCAATGCATAAGACAGCAAATAATTATTTGGCCAAAATGTCAATAATACCAAGAGAATTCTCACACCACTTTTGACATGGTTCAGTCAGCACCTTCTCCATACCTGGCATTATTATTATTATTATTTTTGCGTTTCAGTTGCTTTCTTGAAATAATAAAGCATAAGACGCCAGAAATATTGCCTATCTTCTTCCACCTTCAGTATGAAAATGCCTTCAAACAATTTACCAATTTTGATTAAAAAATGCATGCTGATATGACAGTTATCACAATGCAATTTCAACAAAATTGTTTCAAATAAAATGAAAGACAGTTAAGCCCTACTAGAGCCCACTGTACAGAAAACTAAACGAACTTTTTGGCTAACCCAATAGATTAAGAAGTGTAAAAGAGAACATTTAGACAGAAATTGTCACAGGGTTCAAAATGGTAAACCCTAATAAGTGGCAGCTGTTATGATTATGAATAGGTGTTGGCAGTATTGTGGCTTTTCAGAATGTCCATAGTCAACGATTGCTATCCGTTAAGTATCTGTTGTGTGACGAATATGACACTAAACACATTACAGGCATTGCACTTATTTAAGTAGTTTGCTCAAAGTCATACCGCCAGTAAATAGCAGAGCAAGGTTTTAACCTAGATATGGCTGACCCTAGTACCTCTATGCTTAGCGGCTAAATTATACTACTTCATATGCTCGTTAATGTTTCCATCCCCGTCCTTCCTAGCCATTTGTGGATTTACCCTGTGAAGAACCAATCCTGCCCTCTAATAATAAATAGATTTACTGACCATTTACTATGTACCCAGCCCTTTTCTAAGGACTTTAAAGATATTAATTCATTTAATCCTCACAGCAATCTTACGAGGCATCTATTATTAATATCTTCATTTTATAGCTGAAGAAATAGGCTTAGGAAAGTCCACTAAGTTTTTCAAGGTCAACCAACCAGTCAGGATCAGAGCCAAATTAAAGTCCAAGCTTATAACTCCTGATTTAAAATACCTCAGTAGGATGAGAAGACTTCATCAGGGCCAGGTCCGTGTCTGCCTGTGCACTCCTTTATGTTCTCATTGAGAGCGTGCTGAGGATTGTCTTCCTGACAGCTAGCACAGAACCTGGCATGCAGCGGTTGTTCAGTATTTCAACGCTTGATGAATATTTGAATGCTGGAAAAAACCCTAAGATCCAGGATTGCATTATGTGTCAAAGCAGTTAAATTTTGAAAGGTATTTGTACACCCACGCTCGATGCAGCATTATTTGTAATAGCCAAGAGGTAGAAGCACCCTAATTGTCCATCAATAGATGAGTGGGAAAAGAACAGTCCTTTGCCCATTTTTTGACCAGGCTTCCTGGGCTTTGTTGTTGTTATTGTCATCGTCATGGAGTTGTGGGAGTTCTTTGTATATTTTGCATGCTAGCAGTGAACAATTGGATTTTGAAATTTTACAAATACTAAAAAAAATTTACAAATACTTTTCAGCAAACAAAGCAAGCAAGCAAACAAACAAACAAAATACTTAGGGATAAATTTGACCAAAGATGTGAAAGACATATAAGCAGAAAATTAGAAAAACAGTGTGAGAGAAATTAACAATCTAAATACAGAAATACTTTGTGTTCATGGATCAGAAGATTTGGTATTTTTAAGATGTCACTTATCTCTGCTTTGATCTATAGATTTAAAGGCGAGTCCAATAAAGATCATAGCAGGGTTTCTTTTTTGTAGAAATTACCAAGCTAATTCTAAACTGACACGGAAGTGCAGTAGGATCTACAGTAGCCAAAATTTTGATCAAGAAAAGCGAAGTTGTTATACTACCTGATTTTAAGATGCTTCATCAAAGTAGGTAAGTGGATGACAAAATAAACAAATGAAAGATGCCTGTTGGGTATGTAAATGATATAACTATTTTGGAAAACAGACTGCCATCTCTTAAACAGCTAAGTGTACACCTGCCATATGATCCAGCCATTCCACTCCCAGGTATTCCACCCACAAAGACTTGTACATGGACATTCATAGTAGCATTATTTGTAATTGGCCCAAACTGGAAACAACCCAAATATCCATTAACAGGTGAATAGAAAACAAATTGGGGGATATTCACATAGAATACTTCTCAGAAATAAGAAGGAATGAATGATTAATACCCTCAATAACGTGGATGAATCTCAAAAGAATTATTCTGAGTGAAAGAAGCCAGACCTCCCTCCCCCAAATGCAAATGTGTGATTCCACTGATATAAAATTCTAGAAAATCAAAACTATAGTGACAAAAAGCAGATCAGTGGTTTTTTAAAGCAAGGGGCTGTGGAATGAAAAAGGGGCAGCAGAGATGGGTAGGAGGGTGGTATCACAAAGGCACAGGAGGAAACTTTTGGGGGTTATGGATATGGTAATTTTCTTGATTATAGTGATGGTTTCACAGGTGTATGTACATGTCACAACTTCTAATAGTGCACACTTTCCTCATGTGCAGTTTATTGAATGCCTGTTATACCTCAGTAAAGTTGGGGGAAAGGCACATCTATTTAAATTTTAAGAGACTCTATTTCAGGCTAATCTGAGCCTTGGAGCCAGGAGTGTCACCTTAGAGATGACCTTCGATTTTATGAAATGGGGCCATTACTCCTTTTAATAGCTCATGGAGAGTGTAGCCCAAATCAGGGAGGATTGGACTATAGGAGAGATTATAAGATTATTTAATTTAAATTACCATTGAATTAGTATAATTATTGATATCTCTAGATAGTTCCTTTTCATCTCTTCAGCTTTTTCTTAATTTTGCATAAGCATAATGAATTAGTTAGAATGTAAAATAATAAGACAGTAATAAAGGTTACCTTAAAAACCATAGTTCAAGAAATTAAAAATTTTCTCTGGAATTTTTATTATGAAATTTTGTAGCAGGATAGAGAAACTTCATTTTTTTACATTTGAAAAAGAGTGTAGGAAAAATGTTTGTAGGATACCATAAATATAAATAGTAAGAGTTATGGAAGAAGAAACCTCTAAGTTAATTCTTTTATAAGAAGGATTCTTTTATAATAAATCTTGCAGTTTGTAATGGGTAGTCAGAATTTCATAATTTATGTAGGTATTTTCCAGTTAAAACACAGACGCTTCAATACAATTGTAGTAAACACAGTGCTGGAGTGAAGACTGGTAGAATTTGAGAGACTTTTGAAATATTTTTCTAGGAAAGTATGTCCAGTGCCTCCTGCTTTTTGTAAGGTCACTAAACATCTGTGAGAGGACTGTGGGAATGGATGAGGAGGCCTTGGGTGGTTAAGGATTGTCAACATTTTTGACTTCCTGTTGTAATGCATAACATCATCTAGTCCAACATTCTTCTTTTTTGGATGAGGAAGCTGAGATCCAAAGACGGGAAGTGATTCACCTAAGAACTACAGAGCGAGTTAACTAAACTAGGTTAAGATCCAGATTTCCTGGCCACTAGTCCGGTACTTTTTCTCACAATTACTGCATCTCATTATGTCAGTGTAGAGTATGGAGGAACAGCAGGCCACTTACAATTAAGATTAAAGCTTCATCATCACCTTGCAGGATTCTCCTTTCTGGCTGCTTCTTCTGGAGCTCCGTCCTCCGTCCTCTGTTTTTATTTTTACATTTGGAGAGCTCATGCAGTCATAGCTTCAATTATCACCTATATTCAGATGATTCCCAAATCAGCATCGCCAATGGTTATCTTTCACTCGTGTTCCAATCCCGTACCTCCGTATTTACATAGAGTATCTCCCGTATGAATGAATGTGCTACAGCAATGGCACCTGAATTCGACAATTTCCATATCAAAGTGGTTTCAGTATTCCTTCTGGATTCCCGGGCTAAATCGTATGAAGACTTTTCTTTCTGTGTGTCCTCAATAATTCTGTCATGATGTCCTGTACTTTGTTTAAAAATTTTCCTTGTTTATTTTTTTACCCTATTTAAAGTTTCCTTTTTTTGTTGTTGTTGTTAAACATCAATATGTGGTTGCCCCTCACATGCCCCTACTGGGGACCTGGCCTGCAACCCAGGCATGTGCCCTGACTGGTAATCAAACCTGTGACCCTTTGGTTTGCAGGCCGATGTTCAATCCATGAACCACACTGCCCAGGGCCCTTTTTAAATTTTTTTGATGTGTTCTAGGCACTTTAAGTGTCCTATATTTATTATATGATGTAAGCATCACCACAGTTTTAAAAGATAAGCATTAGCCCTGGCTGTTGTGGCTCAGTGGATTGAACACTGGCCTATAAACCAAATGGTTGCTGGTTTGATTCCCAATCAGGGAACACGCCTGGGTTGCAGGCCAGGTCCCTGATGAGGGGTGCATGAGAGGCAACCACACATTGATGTTTCTCTCCATCTCTTCCTCCCTTACCCTCTCTCTATAAAGAAGTAAATAAAATCTTTAAAAAAGGTAGGTATTAAAGACAGATATTAGTATCATGGCTATTGTGCCCAGCTGGTTACCACTGGGAATAGCTGCTTTGCCTAGAATAGTTCTGAAAAAGTTCCTAGAAAAAGTTTGTTAAGAACTTCTGGTCAAGAGGGAGGCATAGGTAAATATGCTTAGCCTCCTATCTCAACTACAGAAAAAATTACCACTGGACCACAAAACAAATATCACCCAGAACCATCATAAAATCTAGCTGTTTAGACATCTGACAACCAAGGATTTGAAGAAGCCACATTCACCCAGCTGGGTAGGAGGGGCAGAGGTGTGGAGACAGGAGGAGAGGTGTGGAGAGGTGGCAGGATGGGCAGTCTCACATTCATGTGTGGGGGATAAAAATTGGGAAGGATACTTTGGGAGTGAGGGATCCCAGCCCCAGGCTGGGAACCCACATAGTCCAGGGTTCCTGTGCCTGGAAGATAAATCCCTATAGCTTCTGGCTGTAAAAACCAGTGGGGGTCGGTGCAGTGGATGAAACTAATTTTTAGGAGACTTCTCTTAAAGGGCCCACACGGACTTAGGACTAACACAGACCCATTGCCTCTGGGATTCAGCACCAGCACAACTGCTAGAAGGGCACCAGTGACATATGGTGAAAAAGTGAAGTGACTGGAAACAGGACAAGTGCTGGGAAACAGCTTCCTCTCCGGTAAACCTCTAGGAGCCCGGCAGCATCATCGACCCCCTTTAAGACCTTCACCCACACAGAGTCACAAAGTGATGAAATGGGTTGCCTCACCCTGGTGATTATCTAAGGCTCCACCCCACAAAATTTACAGGTGCCTTTTCTACGTTAGGCCACACTACTAAGACAGGGAGTCAAAATAGCTCTACCTAATACACAGAAACACAGGCTGTCAAATTGAGGAGACAAATATGGCCCAAGTGAAAGAATAGAATAAAACTAAGTGAAATGAAGATAACAAACCTATTGGATGTAGAGTTCAAAAGACTGGTGATCAGGATGCTCAAAGAACTCATTGGGTACTTCAACAGCATAAAAAGGACCCACGCATAAATGAAGGTTACATTAAATAAAATAAAGAAAAATCTATAGGGAACCAACAGTGGAAGGAATGAAGCCAGGATTCAAGTCAATGATTTGGAACACAAGGAAGAAAAAAAGCATTCAATCGGAACAGCAAGAAGAAAAAAGAATTCAGAAAAATGAAGATAGTCTAAGGAGCCCCTGGGACATCTCCAGACATACCAACAACTGAATCACAGGGATGCCAGAGAAAGAAGAGCAAGAAATTGAAAACCTATTTGAAAAAAATAATGAAAGAAAACTTCCCTAATTTGGCAAAGGAAATAGACATACAAGTCCAGAAGGCACAGAGAGTCTCAAACAAATTGGACCCAAAGAGGACCACACCAAGACATGCCATAATTAAAATGTCAAAGGTTAAAGATAAAGAGAGAATCTTAAAACCAGCAAGAAAAAAGCAGTTAGTTATGTACATGGGGAGTTCCCATAAGACTGTCAGCTGATTTCTCAAAAGAAACTTCGCAGACAAGAAGAGAATGATAAGAAGTATTCAAAGTGGTGAAAAGCAAGGACCTACAACCTAGATTATGCTATCAATGATAGCAAAGCTGTCATTTAAAATGGAAGGGCAGATAAAGTGCTCCCCAGACAAGGTAAAGCTAAAGGAGTTCATCATCACCAAACCATTATGACATGAAATGTTAAAGGGACTTATCTAAGAAAAAGAAGTTCAAGACCAAGAACATTAAAATGGCAACAAATTCACAACTATCGACCACTGAATCTAACAAAGCAAACAACCAGAACAGGAGCAGAATCATAGATATGGAGGGTTATCATCTGGAGGGGTAGGAGGAGAATGGGGGAAATGTGCAGGGATTAAGAAGCATAATTGGTAGGTACAACATAGCCAGGGTGGTGTTAAGAATAGTATAGGAAATGGAGAAGCCAAAGAACTTATATGTATGACCCATGGACATGAACTAAATGAGATGGCTGATAGAGGGAATGGGAGTACTGGGCAGAGGGGGACAAGGTAAAAAAATTGGGGAAATTGTAATAGCATAATCAATAAAATATATTATAAAAAGACAGTTAAAAATGTCACCTCAATTTTACAGGAGAGAAAATATTTCTAGAGAGGTAAAATAACTTGCCAAAGTTTACATAGTTCATAAGCGACTGAGAAGGGACTCAAATCCACTGTGTGATTTGAGAACCCACTTCAGGTTTTAGTTACTGTGCTGTTTTTCTCCTCATGCCTTCAACCCATGCTTGTCCATGTCCCACTATCATCTCAGTCTGAGTTCCATGTTAACTCACTGCTCCGTTAGTGTAATAACATCTCAGCTGGTCAAGTTACCCTGAAATGTATCTATTCAGTTCCTCTTCTATC